TTTCTGTGTGTGCCTGGAAATAAATATTCAACTTAAAAATCATAATGCCAAAAGATGTTTTTGTAATATTGTTATAACCTGTACTATAACTCAATTGAAGTTCAGCCAGTGTTTAGGACAGACAATGAAATATACATCCTTACCAGCTGGAGTTTCTCAGGACTCTGTTAAGAGTTCGGTTCAGAGTTCAGTTGAAGCTCAACTAGGTCCTCTTGTGGTTGAAAATAAACATTACATCTCATATTAATTATTATTGCACAGACAGTTTGGTAAAACTACGTTTGTAAGATTTGAAAAAAATGCTATTTTTGGTTTTGGCCAATTGGAAAAACCCAGGAGATAATAGTATTACTGCTAAAATATAAGCTTGGTACTAACAAAAGAAAACGACATTGACATTTACTGCTAAGCCATTAACAAAACCTGGCTCATAGTTCTCTTCACATGCTTATGGTACTTATTGAGTACAATCAGTCACTTAACTGGAATCTTGCCAAGAACGTTCCAGAACAACCACTCTTGGCTTTAGAAGCGGTTAGACTACAATAGTTGCAACATAAAGATAAACCATGAAAATTAACTGTAACAACAGTGTGGGTGGCAGGAGATTGTATGTACAGTAATGTAATGCAGTGATTATCAATATAGATTAATAAAATGAGCTGCAATGCTGTCATCTTGTGACGAGAGACTTGTTTATCATTCATAATGTTCTGTTGATGTGCAGGAGTTAACAGTTTAGTGTATGGGAGGGGGAGTGTGGTGAGAGTACGTGTGTGAGGAGGAAAAGGTGATATTGGAGAGCAATAAAGGAGTTACTGCAGCTGTGTTTCAGTAAAAGTTCTTCAAAGCACGGAGGCATCTGATTGGTCTGTCGCTGGGGCATTGCACTATTTTTAGCGCACACATCATTTGACAAAACCCTGACATTGTTATCGGCTTTTCAGTGGAAAAACCGATAATGATTCTTACAGATATTTAAAAATATGCTAATATCCGGCCAATAATATAGGTCCACTGATATTATTATTATATTTAACATAGGTTGGCCGATATTATCGAATATCCCTAGTTTTAAATATCTTCAATCAAATTTGACAAATATAATACGCTTTTGGTAATGTTTAGTACAGTATCCGATGTGAAAGCCTTCTGTTTTGGTTTATTTCGGGCAAATATGTGGCTGGGTTGCGGTACGAATCTGAGAACATTTTGAGAACTATCAGTGTCAGAAAGCTGCAAATGAATATTTTTGTATTTTTTGGTGATACTTTTTCTCTATAAATTGAAATCGCCCACTGTTCTTTTTTGCTGGTACTAGTGGCTAACATCTTTTACATGAGTCATAAGAAGTATTTGGATTCTTGAATGGGTTTAGGGCAAGGATTCCCAAAGTGTGCAAGCTGCCACTAAGGGGAATGCATGGGATCAAAAACCATGTGATGGGAGTTTGGAGGGTTTTTTCAAGTGAGAGTTTCCCACACAATACACACAAGACGAGTAAATATAATTATAAAAAATGTACAAAACTTTTTTTTTGTCATAATAAACTAGCCTACATGCTACCAAACTAATTGATCAACGACAAGTTCCCAAGCCAAATGCATAGGAACTTAAAACTTCTTTTATTCTGAAAATCACTAACCAATCTATTGCTGCACTCTGTTAGTTAATCTCTTCTAACCACACCTTTGCTCAGGAGTCGTGCTACTAGTTGTGTGTTTAAGGGCCACTTCTGTTTGGACTTAGCAACGCCCATCCACTGTATGAACAAAACATGTAAAAACACAAAAGAAGACCGGGGAGATGGGGGAGGTCAAGGCGTGTCCGACAGTACAGCGCAGGCCTACGTTGGGACGATATCCATTGCAGTTCATTTTATGAATTTTATGATATCAGGATAAAAACATTCTCAATACTGATGTGGTGTTTGCAGTTTGTAGTCTTTGCATTAGCAATGGACCTCTCTTAAGCTTTAAATATTCTCTCTCCTATTTTTTCTAGAGGGAAATATACAAGAAACATTGCAGAAAGATAGAAACTAAAGTGAGCCTAGGATAAGAATCATAAACTTGTCTGCTGAGCTGCAGACGAACAGGTTTTGAGCAGTAATATTTTACTCTGGGATGTGCTGTACTACTTGAATAAGTAAACTCAAATGCTCTTGTTAAGGACAAGTCAGTGTTAAAACGTACCCGAGGCACAAGGGAGTGCCAGGTGATCAACGATATTGGTAGCAATCAAAAAAATGAACAATGTTGTCAGTGATAAAGAAAGTGACATGCTAGTAACCAGGAATCTGGGTTAGGAATCAGGAAATAAAGTATTCAAGGCAAGCATTCGTGATGCTGCTGCTATCATGCGTGTTTTTGACCGCTGAATTTACATGTATCACAGTCGCAGACGGCCGCACCCTGCTGTACCTGCTCGCATACAGTTTTGACACAATATTTAGTACTGAGAAAGAAGCAGAAAAATAGGAACATTCTGTTCCTCGACAAATAAACAAATGGATAAGCTTTAAAGCAGGGGTGTCAAACATAGGACCCGTGGACCATATACGGCCCACTTGATGAATGTTGAAAAATAAAAAAATACACAAACACTTCATGGTAAGGGCATTTTAAGGGCATTATATTTCATTAAATGTGAATAAATAATAATAAGTATCAAATGTACGTGTTTGCATGCAAACAAAGGGAAAAACATGCACTTATTGTTATTTATAGTTTTATTCTGTTATGATTGTCCTTGCAGCCCGTGTCATCAGTTTGACACCCCTGGCTTAGAGGTTCATACGCAGGTACATAGTAAAAAAATAAATAAATAAATAAAATAAATAAGAGAACAGGTAACAGGTGTTTGAATCAAATGGGTTATAAAAGAACTGTCCACTAGAGGCTGTTTGGGGATGTGGCGTTATACTTGTAGTCCATACTTGTAGTTTTTTTTTTTTTGCCATTCCTCTGTGACAGGAACCACTGATCATTGACATCAGTGACATTTAGTATAGTCCTTTAACAAATGATTTAAAAGGGTCAGTGATTTGACCTGATCACACTCAGAGTTGCAGTATTATTACACTCCACCAAACATTTGGCAGCACTCCATGTAATTTCTTAGTAATTGCTTTTTTTCCACTGAGGGTTAAAGGTTGATTGATGTTAGGATTTTGCTGGCTGAATGAAATAGTCTCGCAGCACAGTCTTTTGTTTCAAATGTTTATTTTCAGTTTTGTGCCTGTATACACACATGGCTTTATGGAACTGGTTGAGCCGGTTGTATGGGATTTCAGCAGAACAGGAATATCAAGGGAGAACTTGCCCAGGCCTCTGTGTTTGTGTTGCTCAAGGGGACAACTGCTCTGACTGGTTTTCTGGGGTGGAGAGATGAGAGAGAGGGGAGGGTGTGGGGCGTTCTCCTTCACCTTGTTCTCCTCCGTCTCTATCTCTTTTTCATTTTTATGTTGTTTCTCCGTCTGTCACTGTATCATTCCCAACCACCTGATTATCGCTTTCATTCTGAGATCAGAGAGAAACGGACACGGCTGCTGGCAGAGTCTTCCCAGGGCCTTGTGAGGTGAGTTGCTGTTAAATAGGCTGTGAATTGTTGCCTAAGGGCCAGAATTGGCTGAATTCCTGGAGTCCGAGAACTGAGCTGCCATCTGGATAACAATCCTGTCCTCCGAAAGCCTTAAGCGGACATTTGTGCACGTGTGTTGTGGTATCATATTTTTGGACCTGTTTTGTATTCAGACCTGTGATGACACTGCTTGCCTCACATTCACAGACAATGCTCTGCAGTTGACCATTAACTTGTACAATGCATTGTCCAGCGCTGAACGTATTCCCATTTTTAAGAATTGATCACACGATGATCAGCAAATTAGAGCTAAGCTTGTCTTCTGTGTGCACAGGGTGGAGTTTGATTGAACTGGACTGGTTCTGGTGATACAATAAAGTTTTCCTTGACAGCATTGGAGTCAATCAAATGAAAAACGTCCCACAGGATGGGAGGTGTTTTAGGACAAGCTCATCAGAGATAATCATTCTGTACTTTTAGCTCCAACATGGTAGAGCACATAACATTTTTGGGGCAGTGATGGCTTAGTGGTTAAGGAAGCGGACTTGGGCCCAGAAGATTTCAAGTTCAAGTGCACCACTGAGGTGCTCAAAGCTGCCCTCTGCTGACTATGGTGATGGGTTAGAAACAGAGGTCATATTTGGTGTGCTGTGTCACAATGACAATGTTACTTTCCTTTCCTTATATTTACATTTGGCTATTATGGCAGTGTTCACTTAGAACTTAGAAACTCTCTGTGTAACAATATTCATTTCCAGGATGTGCAACATGTCTTTAATTGGCGGCCCTCAAAAATCTCAAGAGAAGAATATGTGTACAGACTGGGATTACATTTTGACAATCCGTATTTGTGCACATGTGAAGGTATTCAAATGTTTCAAGGTCGTTGAGCTGTGATTGGCTAACATCTGAAGGCCACTTGTGAGGCTCCAGGCTTGGAATTTGAGTAAACCTAGGGATAGGCTAATGCTAAGGGCTATCATTTGTACGATAATTAGCATTAGTGTTAGGTCGCGGTACGTAAGAGGGTGTGTATGTACATGTGTTACTTTATATTAGGTGATGACAGTGCTGGTGAGAAACCATGTTTGATATTTGACCTTGTTTTAGAATAATGGTAAAGTAAAGCCTTATATGGTCTGGTTATGGATCAGTTTCAAAGTCTGTTAGCTGTAGCCACAGTCCGTCTCCTCATTAGAACAAAGAGCCATGTGTGGCCAACGTGTGTGTGTGATTGTGCACACCTGTAACAGTGTCCACTTTTACTGAGTCCCAGGAACACTTAATTCTAACCAGGACCAAAACCTGATTCAAAAGTCTCTAATTACATTTCAGTCAGAATACAGAATACAGCCAACGCAGGATCCTGTCACGAATCGTTGTCAGCCAAGCTGTGTTTGTGCTCGTGTGTGTGTGTGTGCATGTGAGCGTGTGCGTGCGTGAATAATGATCTTGAGATAGCACAGCAGGCACATAAATCCAGACAGGTCTTTTCTTGCTCTGTTCAGGTGATCTGAACAACGACTCACTCGACGTATCCCGACACGTTGAGTGGGAACCAAATCTGCAATGATTAAAATACTCAATATCTGTTCAGTGTTCTCTTTTCTGTTTAAAGGTGTGTGTTGTGTTCACATGCATCTCTCAGTGACAGAAGACAGAAAGTGACACACACATTCGTTTCACTTTTTTATTCCAGGGCAACAATACAGATCATCTAAAAAATCAAAAAACAAAAACAAACAAACAAAAAAAAAAACAACAACCCTTCATTGTGTGTGAAGATGGTTTTAAAAAGAGACACCGTGACAAAATAATACATTAGACACATTCCCACACACACACACACATATATGTATGCACCCAAATACACACATTATGCACACAACATGCAGTTTCATTATCTGATTAAACAACTCCATGTCACTGCAAGCCTGAGTTTAACAAAAGACCTGGAAGGACCGGCCCAACATGTTTTAATGATTCACAATATGACAACGAATTCTACAGCCACATTTTTAAAAAAAAAGAAAAAAAAGACGCAACTTGTGAGAGTACACTGCAGCAGCGACACTCCCTGTTGTGAGACGAACAGGTAACCTGCGGGGTATAACGCCTGCATACTTACCAACTGATTTACCGTTTACCGAGAATTTTGTGTTGCGTCAAATGCAGTCAAGCTCACGGGCAAAGGGTTGTCTTGGGAAATCTGCACAACTGTTACTGTTGTACACACATCTGCCTTACATGCAGAAGGTCCTGGGTTCGAGCCCCAGAGGAACCGCCTCTTGTGTGGTAATCTTTGACTTGCAAGGACTGACACCAGATATTTCTCCATTGTGGAACTATTTTGGGATTTCAATTTTGGTGGTTCCATACTGCAGTGGTTTTTACATCTGCCTTTCACATAGAAGGTCCTGGGTTCGAGTCCCAGAGGAACCACATACCTGGCCCGTTCTGTTGGCCAACCTGCAGCAGATCTGCTGTTGAGAACAACAACTCCCCCACTGTAGGATCAATCAAGACATAATTTAATCTTGATATCTGGAGAATACCCAAAAATGTTATGTTTTTATCACTCTTACTTCACTGTGTAAACAGAGCTTAGCCACTGGGAAGACTGGCTTTAACTTCCTGTTGAATTTTGGATTTTTTAACCAATTAATATTTATATTTTAAAGAATGGGGTTTGTATGTTTCACTTATTTGACATGATTTCACTTTTTACTTTTTTCACCTCCAGACTCAAGGTCACACATCATTGCTGTAGAAATGGAGAGCTTTAATGACCTGCTCCACAAACTGCGGGAGGTCCACGAGCGAGAAGTGGATGGTGAGTGGAAGTTCTCAACAGTGACTGCAGGATAGAACATAATTTAATTGGAGAATTGTCTTTCATAATTATATATTTTCTTTCCTCTAGGCTGGCAGGGGAAGGTTCAAGAGCTCTCTAACAAGAAGGGTTGGTAAGTGTTTGTTTGTTTCTTTGTTTTAGTTTTCTGTGAGACAACACTGTGCAGATAAACAGGTTTCCCTTCAGACAAACCTCTTTGAGAATTGCTATGACCTGACTTCTTTGTGGACCAGGCTGGCTTTACAGGTCTCCTGTTGTAACAAGTTATTCACTCTGCTCCTGAATCACAGAGCCTTTGTCTTCTGTTGCCATAGAAGAAATTGGAGACAAAATAAGCTGCTGCAGAACACAATCTTAAAAAGTTCCTGACACAACGGATAAATAATAACGCATTAAGTTTATTCATTTATTTTTGCTAAATATTGTAAGAAGGTCTACTGGGCTACTGAATGACAGACTATGACAGTTAGAAAAAAAAAACTTAATGAGCTTTTCTTTTTTCAACTTATCATAAAAAAATCTCTATTTTACCTATAAGTCCCTGGTCTCCTGTATACTAATGTGAAAAGAAATTGAAATGGACTGACTTTATCACTGTATCAATAGCCTGTTTTCTTCAAGAGGTAGTTATTGGTGAGATCAGAGTCTAGTTGTTGCATTTACTGAGGACCATCAGCCCTGTCTCACTGATGTTACCTTACAAAATAATAGAAAAAAAAGATTCCTCCTAAAATGTGCCTAGTTATTTAACGCATGCAGGAAATCCTACCTCTGTCAGTAGCTGAAGTCTGAGTTCCTCACTGATTTGTTTGTGTTTCTTTGCTTTTTTTTTTCTTCAAACAGTGATACAAAGCGAATGGAGGAATTGTTCACCAGGAACCAGCAAATGAAAGAACAGCAACGGTTGCTAACAGAGAACATCAAGACACTGGAGAACAGGTACAAATGCTATGCTTTGTGTGAAGTTAGAAGGGGGGTCTTAATGAGACGATATAGTTTAGAATTCCAGCCATGTGTCTGTTGGTTTGACCCAGGCGTGGGCAAACTTTTGACTTGCGGCCCTCAATTGTCCTAAAATTGAACAGGGGGGCCGGGTCAGGAGCAGATAGATGTGAACTGAGATAAATGACCTGTAAAAGTCATGCATAAAGGCTAACATGCTAAAATGTTTTTATCATTTTCTACACCATCTATTGGGGAAACAAGAGTATTGCAGGGAAAGGGCAGCAGTATAATGATAATATAAATAAATTATATAATTTGGAAAAGTTTGGAAGGCCAGATTAAAAAGCTGAACGGGCCACATCCGGCCCCCGGGCCTTAGTTTGCCCATGCCTGGTTTAACCTGTATGGGCCACAGACATTCCACATGATTCATATTTACTACTATGAAAAAATTCCAGTGAATGGTAAGTGGAATTTGGGACACAACCATCAACCAAAGCTAGCCCTCAGAAACCAGAACTTTACTCAAAGGCTTTTTAAACATTCCTTTATTTCAGGTCGCTTTGTAGTAATGGCAGTTGAGCCTATATCTGAAATGTAAGAGATTATTTTTAGGCTACATGACGTTAAATGTTTATTCACTGTCAGAGGAGGTTGCACAACTATTCTTGTATCAGATAGCTCACCCTTCATGAGATGGGAGTAGGACCCATATAAGTAGGATTTAGTTTTTTTTTAATCCAACTCTCATAAAACTTAATCCACATTTAGGGATTTGTATTCATATTGTTGTCTCTATTTGCTTATTAGAAAAGTTTACAGTCACTAGTTTTAGCATTTGTAAAAGTGTAATAGTTATTTTACTTCCTTCCCAAACAATCACTTGATCACTCCTTGGTTTTATTAAAGCTAATTATTGTCATTATTTCGGTGTGTGTGTTAATGTGCGCAGGTTGAGAGCAGGCTTGTGTGACAGGTGTACAGTGACTGAGGAGTTTGCCAACAGGGAGCAGCAGGGATTTGGAGCTTCACAGATACAGAACCTTCAGCGCATCTCACAAATGGGTGAAGTTCAGTCTTATGTCATATTAGGGTATTATTTTATATTGGCCTTTGGTTGTTGTTTTTTTTTTTGTAATTAATTCTGATGTGTTCTGATTGTGTCTTGGGCTTTTTGTAGTTGCGGAAATTACGAACCTAAAAAAAGAAAACAACAGACAACAGGATGAAATCATGACCTTAAGAGCAGCTCTGGAGTAAGTACACGGTACATAGTGTAAGAATTAAGTAGCTTCTGAGTTGAGTACTGTCTTTGTGTATAATCCACAGGACAACCAGCTGTTAAAAAAACAAAACTAACAATGCAGGCTGTTACAATGCAAGAGTGTACTCAAAATGCTCAAAATATCATTACAAGTCTAACACACCAGGTTAAACATTGTGTTTCTTACTCAGGAAATAAGTCTTCATTTTAGCATAAGGCTGACTCAAAGCTTAATTTATAGTTTATAATGTTTGAGGGATTTTTTGCCTGGGTTGATTCTAGGGATGGCTCGATACAACGTTTTTATTTCCAATACCGATACCAATACAGCAACTTATACATACATACATACATACATACATATACATGTTGCAAAAATCAGTCCAAAACTGTTCTTCTACTCTAGCATACCACGGGCTGCTGTTGCTGAGGTGATAGTGTCCCTGTTCGCAGCATGTAGTGCAAAGTTAAGTTGAGCATTTGGGCTTAGGTATCATATCAGACTAGCTATATCTGGGGTTTTGTTTTTGCGATGTTTGATCCTAACAATCGGATCAATACCAATCCTGAATATCGGATCCAGTTTTTACAATTCCTCATGATTCATGTTGCATTGCAAATGTGTTTATATTTTGTGCACTAATACTTAGAACGTAGAATTTATGATTAAGATTACCACTCTAGCTGGGTTGGATCACATGATCGCTCCTATATCCATAATGATATCAGTCAAAACAACAGCAGAAAATGTTGACTTGTACTGTAAGTTAACAATCAGGTTCACCTACTGTTTGTTTTTTTGCGGTCAGCTGTCCCGGTGACCACTCGTCACACAAAACTGAAGTCAAATCAAGCAGCTCCCCTGATTTTTCACCTTCCTCCATCATCGAGGCTGCGCTCAAGCCCATCAGCCTGCATCCAGACTGTGACGTTTTGAAATCAGACAGAGAGCAAAGATCTGATGGTGAGGGCAGAGAGATACGTTTGTCTGTCCAGTTTGATGTTAAAATAAAGACCAGACTTTCCCAGGTTTTATAGTTTTTATTTTTCTTTCCCCACAGAACATGAACATCGACAACAGAGGGCGATGCGCAGGGCCAACTGTGTAAGTTTCTAGTTAAAGTTGAACAGTTAAATATGTGTTGAAATGCTTACATAACAACATTTACCCTAGCCCTTTTGTAAGATGGGATTTTTTTAGAAATGTGCATTTTATGTGTGGGATTTTATGACCAAGTTTGGATAAAAAATGTTGTTATTGTTTTTTTTTTTTCTCTAGATTAATGTTGTTTTGCCTTTTGTTTTTCTCCATTCTCCCAGGAGACTTATAAGCCTCTCGCACTGCCAAATATCTCCCAGCAACCTTGGAAGACAGACCACAGTGCAGCACGGACTGGAGAGAGAAGGTGAACAAGATGTGCTGTCATTGGTGTGATGTACTGAACTCACAGGACTGACACTGAAGTCTAGTTTAAAGCTTTAATCGACTCAACACTGACTGGAGTTTGGACTTTAAAGTAAAAAAGACAAACTCAGTTTTAGCGTCGGTCTTCTTTGTGTAGTTTTTCTATACTGTGAAGTTATTATTACTACAGACCGTCATTGTGTCTCTCAAGACAAAACTCTATTTTTAGATGGCTCCTTATTTTGATCAGTCTGACATATGTTAAACACTGATCCGTTTCTCCAAACCTAGGCCTCATAGAATGGAAGGCCTAGACCAGCGAATGTCTCTCTCCCCTCAAGCTCTTCTACTGAAGACTTCTTCATCCTCAACATTTGGAGGAAATCGACATGTTCTCCACACCCCTGTCCCCTGTCGTCCTCAACCCATTAGAGGCACTCCCCACGGCCTCCCGTGGCCTCTCTCAGAATCCTCTGACTGGGTGACAGCGGCCGCGGCAAGCGCTAACCAGGTGAGGCCGTCGGCTCCCAAACCAAACGTGCCACACTTTCCCAACCTTTTACCGACAAACCAACATGTCAGCTCCAGAAGGCAGGGGTTTGGTCCTCCCTGGCTCCAAAACAGCCCCCCTCCAGCCACAACGAAGGAGCCGACCGTGGTGTTTAGGTTCAGGAATCTGCCAGAATACCCCGGCAGTCAAGTTAAGCCCCAGGAGAAGGAAGAAATGAAACCGGTGAAGGCTGAAGGTGCGTCTGAACAACTTAAAGAGACTTGTGAGGGTCCTCTGGACCTTTCAGATCGTGGGAAGTCTTGGTTTAACGTCACACCGAAAAGAAACGAGTCGCCCCTGGCCGTTCAAAGTAGAGAGAGAATACAGAAGAGTCCTGACACGGCGTCTTCAGCAAACACTCCAACACACATAATAGTGTCTTCACCCTCACCCGTCTCTCTCTCCTCATCATCCTCATTTACATCATCAGTCAAACACCAGGACGAGGAGTCCACTAGTGATCATAACCACAAGGTATGGTCACACCCTACACTGTGAAATGTAGTTTGTTGTTGTTTCAACTATAACCAAAAGGATGGCCTCCCATTTTAGGAGAAATAAAGTTAAAGTTAGGGCAACAAAAATAATTGAGTTCTTCCAGCAAGACCTCCTTTTTTCATTAGTTGACCCAATTCGAAAAACATCACTTTGACAGAAAATCTATCCAACTCCGTTATCTAAATTAAAATGTACAACAGCATCTTAATTGAACTTTTGTGGTTTTTGCACTAACTGTTAAACATATTGTTATTTTAATTCCAGAAACTGTATAACTTTTTTGAATTGCCCCTAACGTAGTGGTGTGTCAGTGCAGGTGTCTATAGAGACATTAAAACAAACAACAAATGTGTATTTTATAGAAATTCCAAAGGGAACTGACCGTAACAGGAGAGGATTAAAAAATGTAAACCTGATAATCAACAAGCAGCCAAAGGAAGAAGAGAATGACCGTTTATTACCCATAAACCCCTTCAACAGCTAGACATAATGCTATAAAGTAACTTTTTGATTGGGCCAAACTAAAAAGTGATAGATGATACCAGAATTTTTGATTTGGTACGATACTGAATCATCTGTATCAACTGTATCAACATCGATACTGATATCAATTCTTTGTGTCTTTTTAACCCAATAAAACACAACAAATACTGCCCATTTAACAACTTTAATATATATTCTTTCATAACTTATTACATAACATAACAGTCATAACAAATACAATTTTTTACAAAATGTAACGTAAATAGTTGTGATTGTAATTGTGACTATCACTATCACTATCGTGGCGCTTTGGCCCAGATGCAATGTCTCTGTCATTGGTGTGGACCTCCAGGGTTCACCTCCTGGGCAAGTTCGAATCCCTGTTAGGGTGGTTAATACCTTCCAGTGGACTCACCACCAGCAGGAAGGTTCAGGGGGGTTGGTACGGTGCAGTGTGATTTGGGTGGAGACTGCTGCCCCTGCGACCCGGTAATGGATAAGCGGATGAAAATGGATGGATGGATGGACTATCACTATCACATGACATAAATGGATCAGTTCAATTTTATTAAAGTTAATGGGAAGGAGTGCTGCAGCACAAAAGCCTTTACAATAATGAGTTACCCTAAAAGGTGTGCGTCATCACAGCAGGTGACTGGAGATCAGGAGGAGAAAACAGAGATGAAAGAAAAGACAGAGAAGAATGGGGAGAAACGGGTGCCTGTCCTCACCATATCATTACGTCCAGGTGAGAAACCTGTCAAGTCAAATGTGTTTTTTTAATTCTCTGCTTTTTTCAACACTTACGCCTGTCTGGTTTCTGTAACAGTAGTAGTACTGGAGACTCTGAATTCTCTGCAAAAGCATGAATCCCTGTCATCCAAAGGCAAGGTATGTTCATCAGATTCACAAAAGAAAAATACATGTAAAAAATACAATACATGCACGGTTTCCGGTTCTGGTATTGTGTAAAATAAAGGCAAAAAAAAATATTTTTTTTGCACCTCTAGTCAACAACATCATCAGCAGTTGAACCAGGAAGTAGCTCAGACGAGCAGGACGACAAGTCGAGCATGTCGGGGCACGAGAGCAGCCAAGGCTGCAAAAGGAAGAGAGCATCAGTGGAGACAGAAACTGACCGAGATTCAGACACGGACAGTAGGTATCACATCGACATTCAGGCCTTTGCCTCAACCTTTTGACCCTACTTCCTGTCCCCACTCCTCTCTTTGAGTTAATTTGTAGGAGCAGTGTGCAGATGTGGAGATTAGGGGACTTCTTAGGGACACTCTGCAAAGACAAAGGCAGCTGGTCACAGAATATTATGTCATAACTTAAAAAGTATATAAATTTGAGGATATGCCCTAGGTGTTTAAAAGTTACTGGAAACCATACAGCGTACTTACTGCCACTTATTGGTCAGTAGAGATATTACAACCAGAACAGCATTTATTTTTATAGTCTTCAGATATTAGTCTAAAGGTGGTCTATGGTTTAATCCTCTGCCAACGTTTTGTGAATAGGTACAAAAAGTTGGTTTACAGGTTTGTGACTGAAATTATGCTGTTAGATTTTAAAAAGAAAATGGACCAAGATTTGAAAATACAGTCTAGAAAATTGCCCTACACTGGGAAACATCAATCATTCCCATTTGCCGATTATTTAATCCGAATGGAATATGGTTAACAAACATGTTTTGTTTTTGGGTTTTTTTTGTTTTTCACAGACACACACAATGAAGTAAGCTGTGGTGAAGAGACGCAGCAAAAGACGGTGACGCTACGTCACTGAGATCAGCGTTTAGGAAGCTGGGGTCAGTGTAATACGCAAAAAATATACATAAAATAAAAAAAACACCAACAACAACGGAGAAAGAATCCTTTTACACCTGTATACCCCTGTATTTACATTGTAATAATTCAAAGTATACGGGAAAACACAGAATTGCACAATTTCATAATCTAACAATTTTCACAAAATTTCAAAATACAACCACGCCAGTCATTCATACTTAGTGAATGTATGTTAAGAGGCAATTTGTTACAAAACTTCCCCTGACACTTTCTTCATCTGAGCTTTTCCCTCTTGCGTTTTCTGTCCAAGGCTTTGACCTCTGTCAGCCTGGACAATAAATGTATACACTGGTTCTGATATGGTTGTTATTGCGGTATTTAAAAAAGAGGGGGATTCACTGTAGGACATCAATCTGTATTTTTCTAAGGCTATAAACTTTCTTTGTTAAAACTTAATTCCTGTAATGTACATACTGTTTATATTGTATATTTTGTTCGTGGCCAAAAATGTAATCCCTAAGGTGTCATGTGTTACCTACTTTATTCTAGCATTGAACAGCAGTTTCAGACCTCACCGGATTCTCATTTTGTCTAACTATAAAACTACAGCAATGGCCAACAACTGATCGAGACACAACTCTGCTGAACTCACTGTAGTTACTGTGAAAATGCTGAGGAAGTACAGTGCAAACAGTGGAATTTCCTGACTGTGGGATAAATAAGAAAAGTATAATGTCATAGCTCTGTGTGAGAATCCGTCCAAATTTCTGAACCACTAGATTATTTTACATGGCTGATACATACATACATCTCCATTGTACAAATGAGAAGTGCTCATTTCCTTTGTCATCAACGTGTTTTAATTAAGAATGTGTTTGACGTAAGGGTGTGTCTAAGCTGTAAACTATTTAGGCCAACCTTTAAACACTGAGCTGCGATAAGCTAACAATACTTTAATTTGGTTTTCTGTCATTTATTCACTGACCCTTTGTTTCAAACCAGCCAGTGTTTGGTTCTTATTTGCTGTGGTTTAGTCTTTGTTCTACGAAGTTATCAAATGACATCGCTGGTGTAGTACTTACAGTTATTTCTCTTTCCTGGCATTGCTCTCACTGCCTGGTTATTTTTATCCCCTGCCCACACCCTCGTTTTCCCTCAGTACATTTAAAAAACAGAGAAAAAACTTGTTCCTCTTCCCCTTTTTTTGGTCTCAAGTGCACATGTTTCTCAAGTGTTACATTTCAACTTGAGCCTATGGTAGCTTGTGTTGACATGGGCAGATGAGGAGAATGACTTAGTGACTTATATATTATAATATAACTCACAAATGTAATAACTAATTTAATCTTCTGTCAGGTGGCGCTTTGGCCCAGAGGCAAAGATACTGAATCATCTGTATCAACTGTATCAACATCGATACTGATATCAATTCTTTGTGTCTTTTTAACCCAATAAAACACAACAAATACTGCCCATTTAACAACTTTAATATATATTCTTTCATAACTTATTACATAACATAACAGTCATAACAAATACAATTTTTTACAAAATGTAACGTAAATAGTTGTGATTGTAATTGTGACTATCACTATCACTATCGTGGCGCTTTGGCCCAGATGCAATGTCTCTGTCATTGGTGTGGAACCCCAGGGTTCACCTCCTGGGCAAGTTCAAATCCCTGTTAGGGTGGTTGGTACCTTCCAGTGGACTGACCACCCACAGGAAGGTTCAGGGGGGTTGGTACGGTGCACTGTGATTTGGGTGGTGGTCATGGAGACTGCTGATGAGAATGAATGGATGGATGAACCTAAATGGGTGCCAGCACTGTGTGGTCAAAGTGTCAGTTTGGTCTAATAATGGGGCAAAAACTTAATTTTCAGAAAAGTTGGTACACTTCTTAGTGTATGTGTGTCTGAGAGAGAGCGAGAGAGAGAGAGGTTTTCACTGTCACTGTTAACAGAAAAAATTGAAAAAATAAATATACTGAAATTTAAAGAGACATATGAATTTTCCAGGACAACATTTTTATCTTTTTTTTAGTGTTTTTTTTATGTTTGTTTTTTATTGTTGTTTTTTTATATATATATATTTTGGAGAACCCCAAATAACCAGACAGTCTGTCAATATTTTACTTTGATAACGTAAAACGTATGTTTGTTTGTCGAAACATTTGCGCTTTTCCTTTTTTACACGTCTAACACCGCATTTCCCTAATGTCTCTTTAACGCCACTGCAGTTGCTCAGGTGTCAGCACTTTTACAACATGTACATATCATTCAAGTTGTATGACATGTTACTCTGTGATGTCATCCCACTTGTTTTAATCTACAACTGTATGTTACTGATGTGAGTTGATTCATGCACTTCTGCTGACAATAAACCTGCGTCTGTAGCACGGCCTGTTGCGTGATTCACACACACCAAGAGTGGCATAAGTTCCTCAGAGGAAAGAACTCAGATTTTTGTTTTGGGAAACAGAAAATTACACCATCTGTCTTAGAACATAGTAAAAATAATGTGGTGTGATGGAGAAACAAACAAAAGTTTGTCATTGAGTTGGAGGTTTTCTTTTCTTTCTTTTTTTTGTACAGTGTCTCATTAACTTCATTAGCTCATATTTGTTGCCTCAACTTTATTTTGGCCACACATCAATACATTTTTTTTTATTTTATTTTTATTAAAAAAATAATTTAAATCTCTACATATTCACACTTTTTTTCTTCTTTTTTTAATTTTATTAATTTTATTTTATTATATTTAGAGCGTGTTTGTTTGTCTCCCCTTTTTCTCCTCTGTGTGGAGCTAATCAGTGTCATCACAGTCACCTGTGTCTCTGTCATTAGTCTCACTGGCGTCACCTGATGTCCTGGGTATATATTCACCTCTCTCCCACACTCAGTTTTCCTCAGGTTATTGTTTTGTGTAGTTCTCAACGCCATGTGGTCGTCACTGCAGGTTCGACTCCACCAGCTGAGGTGGCTTCTCAGACACGACTCACCAAGGTGATGGCTTAATGGTAGAAGTCATGTTTCATTGTGTGCAGTGGTGTGGAGTATCACAATAAGAACAATTCACTTTCACTTCACTCAGTGGTGAAAGTTCACACAGAGCATCGGAAAAGGAAAAAGGTGATTTAGTTGGCTTAATAACACTGACTGTTTGGTACATTTCAAGGATTTGGAATACATGGTCCAAACCATATATATATACATACACACATTTATATATATATATATATATATATATATACATACACACATTTATATGTATATATATATATATATATATATATGTATATATATATACATATATATATCAAATGAGGTTATTTTAAGCTTTTGTTTTTACTTTACGGTTCCCTCTGGCTGCTCTCACAACTGCACCTCGAAAAAGAATGACTGTCTTAACGTTTAGAACACTCTGCTAAATATGTAAACGTGTTTGTCACATCCCACACCCATTGCATTGATCCAAACATCAGCTCAGCACAGCTGAATTGCTTGTGGTGTTTTAGCGACAGAGGTAAATAAAGGAACAGTCTCAATTTTACACTTTCCCGTACACTGTAATTTGAGTTCTATGCTTTTCAGACAATAGAACACTACATCACACTTAGGACCAGTAGTGGGTAGTAACAAGTTACATTTACTCTGTTACAGTTACTTGAGTTACTTAAGTTTTTCAAAATAAAATACTTCTAGGAGTAGTTTTAAATCATTATCCTTTTACTTTTACTTGAGTAGATTTATGAAGAAGACACAGTACTCTTACTCTGCTACATTAGGCTATACTGATATTTAATATTATTTTTAAGTACTCTTTTATGTATTATTTCTTTGTATTATTTGTATTTTTATTGAAGAACTTGCATTTACCTAAATATTATTTTAAAGTATTTAATGAATTTGTTTTATCTTATTTTTTAAAGTATTATATTACTTCACTTGAGTAATATTATTCTTAAGTAACAGTACTTTTACTTCAGTACAATTTTTGGCTTCTCTACCCATCTCTGCTAAGGACTGAGGCTGAGTGAGTCTGGAAATGTCATACAGCTAACATTTCCAGGGGTCACTTGATTATCAGATTACCTAGTAACGAACAGGAGTGACCCCTTGAACTGCGGGGATAGCAACATAACGATTGTTATAAGACCAAAAAGAACCTCAGCTAATAGTAGCAAATAAGGCATAATACTGTAGTAGTTTACCAGCGGGCTGCAGCTGCACTTTGACATGCTGAATGAACTACTGCTGTGAAAAGAAATGCTAAGAATATTTTATTGTTTGCAGAGTTTGAGTGATATCTAGAGACATATCACAGCATCCTGTGTGGCAGTTGTTCCGCTGTATTGTCCATTTCTATTTGTTTATAAACTGTACGATAAAAAATAGTTTCCGCTCGCCCATGTGTTGTGTTATAACACATTTTAAACAAACATTTAATCTTTTCTTTTGGTTGTTTTAATATTAAAACCTCTGTTGAAATGGGGTTTGTACTAACAATATCCGTACTGGGAAACGTTAGGCTACGCTATATTATAGTCATCATAGAAAACGGTGTGATGCAGCTGGGGGGGGGTGGGTGGGCAGTGTAAGTGAAACTCTGTTTCTGTGAACTTCTGGTTCCTCTTTCCTCTCAGACAGTTGTGCTCCAACTTCCTCTGTCGGTCCTCTCCGCTGAGTTCTGCCGTCTCCACCAGACTCACCCAAATCGAAGCGGGATTAAAGAGGATGGAGGAGACGTCAAAAGAATGAAGAATATTCTTTTCACTGCTGAAAGAGCCTAGGAAATCCCACACATCTGCAGAGAATACATTCGAAAACATCGTTTTGACAGTGGTAAGTTACTGTTGTGACCCGGCTATCCGCTGAAACTGAAGCTGTGAAAAGAAGCCGTAATCACAATAAATGGTCAAATTTCATTCTGGCGACTGGTGAACTATAGGGTAAAAACAACAGACGCGAAGTATGTGAGTATTATTGTACGAAATTTTCGAGAAACCTTTCTGGTAAGAACAAGAATATTATTAGCACTGATGACGACCAGGAACTGTTATAGGCTGAAGGTTAGAGAATTACTTATTGTTTTAAAATAAATACAGTATGCAGAAAAACACATAATAATAT